CCCCCAAAACCCCAAAACCCCAAAACCCCTTTTAATAAATAAAATGGCAGAAGGCTAAAAATCATCAATATCGAATATATTGTAGGCTTCATACTTCCATACTTTTGTTAAGAGGGCGATCATCCGAGCCCTAGAGGTGCTAGAGTATTTGCTCCCAGATTTAGATCCTCCTTTCTTTTCTTTCATCTGCTTAAGCCCGTAATTTTCAGCCATTTGGTTTAGTAATTCGTCACTGAGAACTTCAAAATCTGGCTCTTCCTTTACATCAGGTGCCTCTTTACTCTCTTCTTTTGTGATGGGGAATAGTGAATTAAAGGGTACAAAGCTATTTGTAGAAGGGGAATCCATCTCAAAAGTAGGTTGTGATAGAGATGGCCTCTTGACAGATACCTTCTCTGGTTCTTCCTTCATGATAAACGGGTTTGCATTCTTTCTAATACTCCGTTTCGGTAAGGAGTTTAATGAGATGTCTAATAAGTTTGATGAAGTATAATCCCTGATTTTTCAGAAAGATCCTCAATTTGGCCCAATGTATACATACTTCCTCACTTTGTTTTGTTGAGTACTAAATTCGATAGGTTACTTTCTCACAAATTTGCAGATTAAAAGATTCCTGAGTCATTAAAAATACCGAAAACTAGTGAAACTATCAAGATCATTATTTTGAAATTTATAATATTATGGGAAGCTGGTTGTCCCCAAAACTGCAACCTGGAAAGTTTGGTCCCAGATAAATTTTCATCATGAAAATTTTGAGAAATCCTCTTAAAAATATGTGTTAATTTGCATCGATGGAATCATTGGGTAGATTAACTATTTCAGTCTATTAAAAGCTAACTACTTTTGAATGATTCAGAATTAACTCATAATTTTTATTTTAAGAAATTTTAGTCGTTCCTTTAATTTCTAAAGTTCTCAGAATTATTTCATTGTTTAGATTTGGGAAGATTTATTAAGCGAATTTAGAATTTTATGAAAATGAGAGAGGCTATGAGTGAAGATTCATGTTTGTCGATACCATAATCTCCTCCTCACTAAAATTATAAGTCCGCATCAACCTGTGTAGAATAATTGTTTGGGCATTTGAAGCGAAGTTTAGATAATAGGGATTTAAGTCATGACCAAATTGAGATCTAAAACATCTTTATAATCCTTGTTTGTAAATTTGAGTTACTTAGGATCATGATTCTCTTTATTAGGCTCTATTTCGACCTCTTCTATTTCTTCAATTTCATCTTCATCTTCCCTGTCAATATGACCGATGTATGAATGAGCGTCATTCTTATTGAAAATATTTGAGAATTCCATAGTATCTTCATTTTGAGAGGAGAAATCATTGGTTTGAGAAATTGCGCTATTTTCTTGATTCATGTCATAATCTCATGGAACCGAAAATTCAGCTATTGAAAGTTAACATACAAACTTACTCTTAGATTCGATGCAGAGAGACTTCATGAGGTCATTAAACCCCATGAAACTACTTGCTTCGCTAGCGTTTGATGACTCCATATTGCAGTTAGTTATGAGTTTAAATTCTAAATTTTATAAAATATTCCGGGGTTTTGGGGTTTTGGGGTTTTGGGG